AGACCTCCCTCCCTCAATCCGCTCCTGCATCCTCCCTCATGTCTAGAACCCACACCCCAAGCCTAATTTCCACCAATCCCCTCCTACACACCAAACCTCTCATTTTTAGTCCCACCCCAGAGCCTACTCTTTCTCCTTTGGAGGCCACTTTAGTGAAGTTTATTGTTTGTTTGTTTCGTTTCTCACTCCCCCTCCCCTCAACTGATTTTTCTATGGTCAACAGTCCCTGGCTCAGAAAAGGTTCCTCACAGCTGAATTCACATGGGGAAACTGACATGGGCATACAAAGTGCTTGGAATCACTGCTCACCCTCCCTCCAAACATTCCTATGATTCCCCAACATGGCTGGAAGTAAGCAGCAATGTCAGATTGTCTGTGTAGGCAGGTCAGTTTTCCTGTATGGGCTATGAAGGTCAAGAGATACTTGCCTGACAATGTGGGGAAACTGAGCTGGATGCACAGATCACATCACTGCTCTCTCCCCCAAAGTTCCTCTGTGAGGAGGAAGCAGGGCCAGGAAGGGAGAAATCTAGGCACCCTCCTCCCATGCATGGTCTCTTCAATGTATGCAGTGTGGAGGAAACACCCCTTACCATCATCCAACTCCAGCTTGATTAGTTTTACTGGTATTAGGAAGGGAATACTCTTTGTGGATGCATGACCTGCTAGGACTCCCAACAGGCATAGGGCTGGTACTATCTGCTGTATCATCTCCTTTTGAAACTCCTATTGCTGGGCCATCAGTTTCTTCAACAGCAGTTGTTGCTGTGTGGCTTGAATTTGTTGCTGGGTGGTCCATTGAATTGCTGTTAGAACTGCTCATGTCTGCTAGCCCCTCATACCAGTGTTCCAGTTCCATCTTACATGGAGCAGCCAAGCTCTAGTCCCTCATTGGATTTTTAACCCCTTGTGTCACATGTGGTTATGCCCGCATTCACCACCAAAGTTCCAAATAAAGTCCTTCTGTACTCTCCCTACCACTGACACCCAAGGGTGTTCTTAGAGCAAACAAAGAAAAGAATTCATTACATCTCTTCCCTCCCTTTGAAAGAGGGGAGTACATAAGAAATGAAAAATAAGTAAAAATAAGTAAGATTGACTTGGAACTCAGGCAGTCTTCCTGGGTAAATCCTTTAGGCTTAATCTACAATAACCCCTCCTCTCCTTGGGTGCACTGCTTTGAGGCTGGATTTCACAGTGAGGCTTGTTGATGTCTCCCTCTCAGCCAGCCTAACTCAGCTATGTGAGGCAATACAGGGCACTCTTCTTCCTGTTCACTACTTCCTGTAGTGGATTTTCTATTTGTAAACTCAACCACACCCCTCCCCAGACAAAACATGCCCTGCAGGTGCAACTTGTTGCTGTTAGAGAGACCCAGAGGAGCTTGTTAGTCTCCTTTCAGTGTAAGGGAATGCTCCTTAATGTCCTCACCTTTAAAAATTTACCCCTTATTTCCATTCTGAATTTGTCTAGCTTCAATGTCCAGTTCACGGTGCATGTTATACCTTTCTCTGCATTATTAGGAGTTGCAAGCACATGGCCAGTCTCAGGAGGTGCTCAGCAATCTTCAAGATGAGAAGTCCTGTCGTATTCTTCCCTTAAGGAACAATTGGCTAAAATATCATACTAAATATCATATCAGTGAAATAATATAGAAAGGAGGATGGAAGGGAAAGATACTAATTAACCTTTATAAGACTACCCAAAACTGCTAGTTGGTCACTCACCCTGAGATTTATTACAATGAGTATGCAACAAAAGTGTAAAAGAAATATACCATAAACTACTGGAAATGTTAATTAACAGCAAATTATTAACTATTGATTAATGCCATCCATCTCTCTCTCTCTCTCACACACACACACACACACATCATGCTTATATCACCAGAGCTGAATGAATGCCTCTCATTGGCTCTAACAATTTATTTCATCCTTTTCTCTGGATATTGTATTACTAATTATATTCATCTTACTTCATTTTCAATGCCCTATTCTGAACCCCTACATTTTTCAGTGACACAATACCTCTTCAAAGCAGAAACTGCTGCATCTGTACCAGCACAATAAAGAACCAAGCTGTCATTAGCACCACTTTACTTACTTCTAACGAGGCCGAGAGTAATATTCATTTCAAAAGTATTAGACAGCATTTCTCACTAACTGATTAAATAGCAAGAAGTCATTTTAGTTTTTCCAGATAAACAGAATTTTCATATCAGCATGACTGGCAACAGACACAATATTTTTGTATTAACTCTTTGTAGACAGAGTTTATGCAACATGTCAGGGCTCCACTATTATGTTGTAAATAAACAGTTCCTCTTGGTCTGGGCTTTTCTGTTGTTCTTAACTGTCTGTGCAATGAAGAGTATATTTCTTAATGTTTACAAGAGATTTAATAATAAATAAATACTCAAAATCATAAATTCAGACAAATCTACTTGTGCCCCTGTTGTTAGTGTTCATGACACTTTCATTTATCCAATGTCAATAGTCCTTTTGAATAGCTATAGAAGTATAAGTTTCTCTCCAGCAAAGCCCTAACCTGCCTAGCACACTGTTGATTTAGTGAAATGTGCTAGCTCAGCAGGGCAAATCTGGTCTGCTTTAATTTCTTTTCTGTGGATTTTTTTTTCTTTTCCACCAGAGGGCACACAATGTGAACAGACAACTTTCCTCCAACAGTTGGTGTGGGTATGAAGGGTTGTTTTTGTGAGTTTGTTTTTTGCATAAGGAAATTGAATTAATAGGAGTTCTAAATTTTTAATACAGAAATCTGGTGAAAAGGGCTGTAAACTGATCCTACAGCTCTGCTGGTAAATTATTTCTCTTATTACAAAAGCAATATGCTTTGTTCTGGTATATTTTGGCATGATTTTCTTAAGTGCTAGATGCTCAGCACTTTGGTAATTTAGTTACGTATATAACCTGTAAGTTGTAGTCTACTAGTATCTTGTTTGGTTTACTTATCTAAATATTAATTTGGAAGTCTTAACTTTAGGCTCCTGATTCTGAAAATGGATCCCTTTGATACTTCTAAAGCAGGGGTGGGGAACCTAAGGACCTTGGGTCAGATGCAGCTCCCTGCTTGCCTGGGTCTGACCCTTGAGGCTCAGGGCTCCCTCCCCAGCATTGGGGAGCCCATGTTGGCACTCCAGCCCCCCCTTACAACCCTGCCCTCCCTGCACAGCTGGAGCATATAAAATATACTAGCCTGGGCACTCATAGACTCTGGTGTGGGAGGGAAATATGGGGAGTGTTTTTCTTCTTCCTCTTTCTCAATTGGAAGCCACCTCAGTGCGAGGTGTTTGGTTTGTTTGTTTGGTTTTTTTTGCTTTTCACCTGTATGCTGCTCCAACTGATTTTTCTGTGGGTCAGCCACTTTGGACTCAAAAAAGTTCCCTTCCCCTGTTCTAAAGCCACGTGTGTATGTATACTGGCAGTTTGGGATGAATAAATGTGTGTGAAGTTAATCAAAGAATGTGTGTGTAGAAATGATACTGTATTTGAGGGAATGAGTGTGTGAAGGAAAGCAGTTGAACAGGCTGAGTGCATCTGGGGGATCTATTTAAGACAGTGGTGCACAACCTGTGGGTCACATTTTCTTTTCCTGGCAGCGTACATGCAGGAAGGGTAGGGAGAGTGCAGGGGAGCAGACCAGCACTTTAAATTAAAGGGGCCGCAACAAAATGTTCCTGGCACTTTTTTTTTTTTTTTTTTGCTCAGGAATGAAAAAAGGTTGAGCACCACTGATTTAAGACAATAAAGGAAATATACACACATACACACCAGACCAAAAGAAAGAGAGAGGGAAAGCAAAGGAGAATGTTAGGGAAGATAAAAGTGATGGGAAAAAGGAGAAAATTGTTTCCTCAGCCCATGTAATCTTATTGCTTGTTACGTTCAACATGATCAACATTATTTCAGATACTCCATGTTGGATCTAGGACTTAAATCATCACTGTTCAGAATAGGTTGGAAAAATATTACCAATCCAGAGATAAAATAATATAGTAAATACATCTAATACTTGGTTCTAAACTCAGATGTGTGCATAACGCTATATGCAGCCGCACACCCTTTAAGCATGCACTCATTGTAAAAGCACTAAAGCGAGCCCTGTGTGTAGCTACATAGTTGTTTTGGAAGGGTTTGTGATTCTTTGGAACCCAAAGCCAAAGTTGCTCTCCTGTATTAGCTTTATTCGTCTCGCGCAGAGGCTGGGAGGTACCATCGGTTCAGTCTCTGAATAGCAAAGAGCCGTCTGCGTGGGGACAGCGCGCCCCCAGCTTGGTTGTTGTGATTGAACCGAGACCAGAAGACAGCGGCTAGGCCTGCCCACCCGAAGGCCCCCGACCGGAAGTGGCGCGGCAGAGCGGACTACATGTCCCAGAATGCCCCGGGGCAGGGGCAAGCTGGTGGGAGACATCACAGCAGGGCCTGATCCCCAGGCAAAAGTAAGCGTCGCGTCTCAGTCAGAGGGGGGCTGCGCAGGAGGGAAGGGGAAGCCGGAGCAGCCGTTAGTGCCGTGGCTTCCGCGTTCACTCTTATCTGGTGGGGCAGGGGCGGCCATTTACTGTTGGTCTTTGCAACTGCCGGTTGTGCGGGGACGAGCCCCGGGAGAGGCTTAGAAGGGTGTAAAGCGGGGGAGGGGACTAGTTAGGGGACATGACCTGAGGGGTAGAAGCGGACAGTCGTGGAGGTGTTGGGGGAGGCCATACGGGGCGATGCGGGGGCAGCTGGGCGGGGTGTAGAGGGTCGCGGCGGGGGGGGGGGGGGGCGATGTGTGGGAACGATTCTGAGGCCAGGGGAGGCCGGGGCGGAGGGAGACGGGCTGTGCTGGGGTCTGCAAGGGGTCGGGCGGATGGGGCAGGGGGTTGGTTTCTCCTGCCCTTTGCCCCAGTCTGTCCCGAGCGGGGCCGCTCCTGCCGGGGGTGGCGGCGGCACTGGCTGGGGGGCGGAGCAGCCGCTCATTCCTCTCCCCCTGTCTCGGGTCAGTTGGATGCAGGCGCCGCGGGGCGGGGAAGCTGCTGCCGCGCGGTTGGAGCGGACACGCCTCGGGCCCGGCTGTGGCTGAGGAGGCGGCGGGGGGCATGGCGGAGACCGGCTCGGTGCATGAGACCAGGTTTGAGGCGGCCGTGAAGGTGATTCAGAGCTTGCCCAAAAATGGTAAGTGAGGGGGGGAGGGTGTAAAAGGCCGGTGTCCGTGCGGGGCTGACTGCTCTTCTGCCATCTGGAGCACAGGCAGATCCAGCCTTGGCACGCACCCTAGGAGAGAGATCACCGGCTATTCCCTCTCTCCGCCCCCCTCCAGGACAAGAGAAACCTGATCCCCCTCATTTCAGCCCCCTCGAGAGCTCGTCGAGAGGGTCCCTGGCAGGCAGCTGGCATGTGAGGAGACCCCAGAAGGGCTAGGCCGTTACTGTTGGATGAGGAGGGGACTGTCTGAATGACACTTGCAATTAAATATGGTGACAGTTTTCTCTTACAAAAGCCTTCTGGGCCCAAAAGCTTATTCATAACTTAGTTCAAGTCACTTAAAAATATGGCATCGTTTGCAGTTTTCTCATTAGCAATCCGTGGTTCAATAAATACTGTGCTGTGAGGGTTTGCAGGTGCCCAGTGGATCAAGTTTTCAAATTTCCTTTTATTATTTTTTTTCCAGTCAAAATTTGTTTAACCATTCCTGTTGCCACAGAGCACAGTTATTTGTGTAGAGCACATTAAACAAGCAGTTTGTTCATGTAGGAGGGGGTTTGTTGATGTAAACAATTAGTTCAATTTCCTACTTGTTCCCATTCCATCTTCATTGCAAAAGCAGGAGAAAGTACTTTTGCCTCCTTGAAATCCCTAGTATGACTTTGTATGATTTCCAAACTATCATTGTAAATATGTTAATTGGAAGAGTTAACAAGATGATTAATGATTGAATGTGGAGATTGAAGTCCAGAGCCCTCAATCATACAGACCCTTAAACTAGATCTGAATTTTTCCCTCAGTCGGTAAATATTCATTCTGGGCCTAATCCAAAAATGTATTAACCCGGCAATCTTCATTGACTCTAGGGGGGCTTGTATCTTTATCATGCTGTGAGTTTTAAGACCTGGAGGTTAATTTCCAACAGGAATATTAACAGTGTGTTAAATAGACTAAATGTCTTTAATGTCAATTTCCACTAATTTTAAAATTCTATTTTCCCCTAGGTTCATTCCAGCCAACAAATGAAATGATGCTCAAGTTTTATAGCTTTTATAAGCAGGCAACCCAAGGACCCTGTAACAGTCCAAGACCTGGATTCTGGGATCCTATTGGTAGATATAAATGGTAATTGCGTGTCAGAGATTGTTTGGTTATTTGTACTGAACTTTGCCTAAGAGCATCTTCTCAGGTTAACAAAACTGGTGTGTGTGTGTTTTCAAGAGGTCCCTTCCTTCACAATAAAGTTGGTATATACAGGTTGGACCAACCTTGTCTGGCATCTTCAGGACTTGATCCTTCCCAAATGAGCGAATTTGCTGGATATAGGGAGGTCCCCTGCCACTGGCTTCTCAGGATGCTCCCCCTTGCAACAGTTGGCTCCGCTCAGGCCCTACTGCCCCTGGGCTCCAGCCTGCACGGCTTGGACTTGGACTTCGGCCTGCTGCAGCTCCCCAGCCTGTGTGGCCCTGCTTCTCCACCGCCTGACCGGGGATTCCCACTGGGGATTGGGCATGCCGGTCTTGCTGCAGCTCAGCCCGACCCCGCCCAGCCTGGGCTCCCCGGGGACAGAGCTCCTCAGCTTCTGCAGCCCTGCTTCTCCCCTTCCTGGCTAAGGCTCCTTGGGGATGGAGTTCGCACTCCTGGGTGTGATCCAGCAACATCTGTGGTCTGGAGAATCCTGGATTTCAGAGGTTCAATCTTTATATTGTTCATTATTCCCCTGTTTTCTAGCCTTTAAGTTTAAATGATGTGTGATTTCTCAAAGTTAGGAGAGAGAATATTCTCTTTGCTTCTACACTACTTGGGCAGATATCTTTGTGGTAACAGTGCAGTATTTTTCTCCTCTCTCCAGAATTGAGGGGAGCCCAAATTAGTTTTTAGCTATGATCTTAGGCTGTGGAATCAAGTTCCTTCTGATTTGACTGCCTGTGTCTAAGGCCATGTCTACATTACGAGATAAGGTTGAATTTATTAAAGTCAGGATTTTTAGACAATTTTGTAAAAGTCGAAGGTGCACGTCCCCATTGTGTACAAGTATTTGACTATAGTTCAAACTAGCACATCCCCAGTAGGGATGTTAGCTATTGGGTAATTGAATAGTCGAGTAACTGCATGAATTCTTATCAGTTACTCAACTATTCTATATTTCCTCAGGGTGGGTCTGGCAGCCAGTGCAATCCAGCCCCATTTGCAGAGAACCCCATGCTGCTGCTTCTGATACAGAGGCAGTAGCGTTGAGTGGCAGCAGCCCCTGCCCGTGGGGGGGTCCAAGTTCCCCTTGGACAGAAGCTGCTATGGCAAGGCAGGGCAGGGAGGCTGCCGTGAAGCAGCCTCTGTCAATAGCGGCCCGCACTGGCTGCGAACAGAGGCTGGTCCAGCAGCAGCCCCTGTCCGTGGGAGGTCCTAACCCCATGGAACAGCCTCTGTCTGAAGTAAGCTTGAGTTAGCGACAGACAGAGGCTGGTCCGGCAGCAGCCCCTGTCCGTGGGAGGGCCAAGCTCTCTGTGGACAGACATGGCTCCTCATCCTGTGGAGCAGCCTCTGTCTGTAGCAAACCTGGGCCCACTGTGGTCAAAGACTGCTTTGCGACAGCATCCCCTTCCTCCCCCGCTGCTGCCTTTGACAGAGGCAGCAGCGCAAGGTGGGGCAGGTGGCACCATGGAGCTGGTGCTGTGGGGAACCAGCTTTTAAGCTGTCTCCCCTCCCTCCTCCCGCCAGCACCGGCTCTTGGTCCCCACCACTTGCTGCCTAAGATAGATTCTAGGCTTATCAGTTAATCATATACTTAACTACTCGTTTACATCCCTAATCCCAAGTATGGTGGCTACAGTCGACTTTAAGAGCAATGTGCTGTGGGTAGCTATCCCACAGTGCCTGCACCCTTTACATTCTGGGTTATGCTTCCAGGGTACACTGGGACCAAAACTGTTCAGTGGGTGGTTCTGGGTACATGTAGTCAGCAGCCCATAATGCACTTGTTTCCTCCCTCCCCTCTGCAAGAGCAAATGGTCCATTTGCGCCCTTTTTTTTTCTTGCTGGTTATCCAGGCAGATGCTATAGCAGTATGAGCATGGACCCCCATTGTGGATCTTGTTCATCATCAAAGCTTTATGATGCTGACATTAGGCATGGTACACCTAATTCTGGGATATGTCCAGAATGTATGCAGAGTCCACCAGAATGAGGAAGAATCTCAGGAGGCCATGAACATACTTTTCTGTGAAGTACTTGAGCTGAGTGATTTGGAAATACTGCCAGCATTCAATTCTCTGGACACAGTGGAATGCCCACGGTGGTGCGTGAGACAAGCACAGACTGATGGGACTGCATTGTGATGCAGGTATTGGATGATCAGTAGTGGCTGCAAAACTTTTGCTTGTTGAAGGCCACTTTCATGGAACTTTGCATGAACTTTCTCCAGCCCTGACTCACAAGAATATCAGAATGAGACCTGCTCTGACAGTGGAGAAATGAGTGGCAATAGCCAGGTGGAAGCTTGCAATGCCAGACAGCTATGAGTCAGTTGGGAATTAATGTGGAGCATGAAAATCTACTTTGGGCACTGTTGTGATCCAAGTAGCCAAAACAATCAATCCCCTTCTGGTATGGAAGGTTGTGACTCTGGGAAATATGGAGGACATAGTGGAAGGCTTTGCTGAGCTGAGGTTGCCTAACTGTAGTGGGGTGATAGATGGAATGCACATCTCCACCTTGGTGCTTGACCACCTTGCAAAGGAATACATGAACTGCAAGGGATACTTCTTAGTGGTGCTGCAGGCTGGTGGAACACAAGGACCATTTCACTGACATTAACATGGGATGGTTGGGAAAGGTGCATGAAGGCAGTTATCTTTAGGAGCTCCTGCCTATTTGGCAAGCTACAGTCCGGAACTTTTTTCCCTGACCAGAAAATTACAATCAGATATTGAAATGCCAGTAGTTATCCTTGGAGAAAGCCTATCCCTTGCTCCCATGGCTCATGAAGCTGTACAAAGCCAGCCTGGACCGCAGCAAGGAGCAATTTAACTATAGGCTGAACATGTGCAGGATGGTGGCAGAATGTACATCTTGGTGCAAGCTACAGTCCGGAACTTTTTTCCCTGACCAGAAAATTACAATCAGATATTGAAATGCCAGTAGTTATCCTTGGAGAAAGCCTATCCCTTGCTCCCATGGCTCATGAAGCTGTACAAAGCCAGCCTGGACCGCAGCAAGGAGCAATTTAACTATAGGCTGAACATGTGCAGGATGGTGGCAGAATGTACATCTTGGTGG